ATATGCATTTAGTAAAAGCTTTACTATATAAAGCTTTACTATATTTTAACATTACAAACAGCCACTTCAATTTTATTTATTTGTATCTATAAATTACATACCCCTCGGCAAATTGTACAGAAGTCCGAAGAGTACAATCTGCCACTTTGCCTGGCGTACGAGTATGTGGACTATGAGAAAGCCTTTGATTCCGTCGACATTTGGGCGGTGCTACAGTCTTTTCAGCGGTGCCAAGTTGACTATCGGTATATTAAAGTGCTGAAGTGTTTGTACAGTAGACTACGATGGCTATCCGAGTACAGAACCAGAGTACGAAACCTATCTAACTGCAGAGAGGTGTAAGACAGGGTGACGTTATTTCCCCGAAACTCTTCAACGCTGCATTGGAAGACGTTTTCAAGCTACTGGACTGGAAAGGATACGGTATTAACATCAATGGCGAGTACATTACTCACCTTCGATTTGCCAACGATATAGTCCTTATGGCAGAATCGCTGGAGGACTTAAGCACTATGCTCAATGACCTCAATAGTGCCTCCCAACGGATAGGTCTTAAGATGAAGATGGACAAAACAAAGATCATGTTTAATGTCCATGTGACACCTATGTCGGTAGTTGTTGGGAGTACTATGCTCGAAGTTGTTGACGAGTACGTTTACCTGGGACAAATAGTCCGACTAACTAAGTCCAACTTCGACCGAGAGGTCAATCGACGGATTCAACTCGGCTGGCCTTTTTTGCCTGTCTGTTTCGGCTCATTTCCGAAATAGCTGGACTTATTTTGACAGGGTGATCACTGGCAGATAGCTGATATTATAAGGAGTAACTTAGGCTACATTTATTTTAGAAAAAGAATTAAGCTATTCGCGCAAAAAAACTAAAAGTCTAAATTACCGCGAGCGAAGTTGCAAGAACAGCTAGTTAAAAATATTTTAAAAGTGAAATAACTAAGTCCCGAATGCTTGCTAGCTATCTATATACCTACAAAACAGTAATGGGTAAATCTCATCACATATTTTGGACTATTTTAAAATAATATTTGTTCGTGGAATTTCGCGAAACGCTGGTGACTTTCCACGGAACGCTTAGGTTCTGAGGAAACCACTTTAGGAATCTCTGATCTATACTACACCCAGATGGACTCATTGGCAAAATATACCACCCATCTAACAAATTTCTTACTTCAACTTCTTTTACCTAGCTGTAAGCCTTTTAACTACTAGAAGGGGTAAGAATGGTGACAAAGGGCATCAATAACTGAAAAGGAACGGAAACGAGGGTTCGCTTGCTACTTGATCCAGCTGCTAAGGAAGGCTTGGAGAAAAGGAAGAGGACGACGCCCTTGTGTGTTACTCCGTTGCGGGGTTCACATACGTTGTTCCTGAACCCAACGTAGGTGTCATAGGAGGGTAGGAAATCTGCTGCTGAACGAGCCGTGACAAGAACGATCCCTCGTTCCTGTCCTTTTTCAATTGCTCCTTGGCAGCTGGATCAAGTAGCAAGCGACCCCTCGTTCCAGTTCCTTTTCAATAACATTTTTATTCTATATTTATACTATTGTGAATCAACAATGCACTCCGCCGGTAAGTCGTGGTGCAGCGACGCAACAGTGTGACACAATAACACGTGCGACACGCGGGCACACTGTCGCCACACGTGCCGCAAGCATCGAGGAAGCTTACTCAACCACGAGCCACGACTAACTTCAAACTAGCTGTTCCCCGCGACTTCGTCTGCGTTGAATTTATTACGATTGGATTTCATGGGTTTATTATTTTTGCGCGGAACCCTAATTATTTTTCTAAAATAAAAGTAGCCTTATTTACTCCTTATATCAGCTACCTGCCAGTGAAAGTCCCGTTAAAATCGGTCAAGCCGATTCGGAGATTAGCCGGACTAAACACAGACACAGATATAATACATACGTAAACAATCAACAGTATAGTCATAAACAATCACACCTGTAACCCAGATGGGTAGGCAGAGACTACAAACTTCCATTTGGCACGATCCTGACACCTCTCTCGCCTCCTCCACATCCATATACCTACGCATACATGCTCGTCCGTTAAGGGTACTCTGAATTTGGCCCATTTTCAATATATCGCCAATTTGGTCGATAATCTTTTCTTTTACTAAGGCAAAAAGCTTTTATTTTGACGTTACAAACAGACTTCAATTTTATTAATTTGTATAGATAATCATCATTGTTTTTTAAACAAGCCTACTAATTTACCGATACTCATTCGATACTACAAGTATAGTATATGCAAATATAGAATATTCAGGTTGTTTCTGTGTATAGTGCAGTGCCTGTATGTCACGGTCATCATTGACAATAACAACAAGGGTGATAGATCCTAAACAATAAGAATGAAGAAAGTTACTACATGCTACCACCGTAATCAATGTTAGGGATAATCTTTATAAGCGAAATATCACTGTCTGACTGACTTCATCACGGGATGTCTAAAACTATACACCCGATTGAATTGAAATTTAGTATTGTTACTCATTTCGTAATATCGACGCTCAATAAGAAAGGATTTCACGATAGTCCCATAAAAAAAATTAATAGGTTCCGCAATAAAATATTATCAAGCGAGCGAGTATCAGTAAGTCAACGTTGAAAACAGACAAAGGAAGTGGTTAAAACTCGCGACTAACTTTAAAAGTTGTCAGGCACAAGTTGAGTTATTCCTCAAGGATCAATTCAATTCCACATTTTGTGTATTCATACGTAAAAGTTCAAAAATCGTTTACAGAGATTTTAAAGTGATAGACAGTGAGTTACAGAGATTAGAAAGAAGAGTTTAGTAACAGATGTACTGTAAATGTTTACATTTATCATCTACAATAAATTTATAATGATATTAATTAAACTATTTCAACCCAAAATTAGTTAAAAAAAACATCTCATTTATATACTACATAAATGTTGTATTTCAAACTGCAAGGATTTCTAAAAAAAAGCTTCTATAACGGAATCTTAACAATAGCCATCATGTATAACTACAGCCATGATCATCATCATTACAACTCTTTTCAACCATGGTCCCGAACCACCTTCATCTTTAACTATACTGTCACTCCATCTCGTGGGGAGCGTTCTTCACTTCGCCTTCCTTCTTCTCTATCGGTTATCGGTTTTTCGTGTTATATAGCCGATCCATAGCCACTTCAACTAATTTTAAACAAATGCAATAAACAGTACCAATCACTTAGTCCAGGGGCTAAAGCGCGCGCCGTAAACTAAGCATGTTTTCCTATTCGAATGAATGACTCATGTGCATTCTATTCCCACGGCGGAAATTAAAACAATAATCGACAATACGCAAGAAGCTAATATCAGATGCGGGCACCAACTTTTGTACTAAGATGATGATGATATTAATAGTGATACCGTGACAGGAGGCGTCGTAACTCGTTAAAATATTAAGTCCCTATGTACAAAATTACTTTACAATCGCCTTATAAAAACCACGGGATGAAATTTAAAAATTAAAAATTAAATTTAAAGAATTGATTAAAACTACTTTTAGGTATTTTATCGCGTTTAATTTATATGATTTTTAATTCCCAACGCTTCGGGTGCTTTCCAGCACCCATAATCACGGGGGACTGAGGTGACCGACGTCCCGATGTCAGTGTTAACCCGGAGTACCTTCAGCTTTTTAATTATTATTTATTTATGGTCCCATCTACGCAGAATGAACTGTGTCTTGAAGCCTTGCAGTGGTATGCTTGGGTTTATTTTTAATTTTATTAATTACAGGGTCCCAAACAGGTGCCAGCCCCTTCTCCATTGAAATTAAGATGTTTTTCAATTTCAATAGCCTCACGTATCATTCTTTAGCAAGCATTAGTGGTCTATCAAATCTGATGTAATGGTTGGGGCCATCTAGGATATAATCACAAAATACAGACTTCCGAGAATTAAGAATCATATAAATTAAACGCGATAAAATCTGTAAAAGTAGTTTTAATCAATGTATAGTGTACGCGTACCTAGATATAAGAAATCTTTAAATTTAAAGTTTAAAAGTGGCTAATGACTGTACGGTACAGCTGTGACCACATAATTCATTTCAGCTTTTTGAGATCTGGCACAATCACTGCAGAGGTTTATTGTTAAGAATAGTAACCGGGGATAGTACTAGTAGTGAGCATCCTCGTTTCCATATATTTATTTATATAATGTACGGACCAAATTATTACAGGGGTGATATTTAACTGTTTGTTCCTGTCTAAAATACTTTATTTTATTAAAGTTGTGTTAATATAAAAAGATGGAGTGACGACCGGGTAAGACATGCAGGAAGTCGACGGATGTAGGTGGACCGTGTGTTTTGTGGCATACCTTGGGGGAGACCTATGTTCAGCAGTGGACTTGTGAAGGGCTGTAATGATGATGATGAAGTTATTATTTGCTTAAATTAGGTTTCGAGCAATAATATAAAAAGCATAGTACTATAAATTATAGAGCTTTTTTCAGTTTTCAATACTTTTTTAACTGAAGAGATTTACTATGTAGGGCTCCTTTTCTGCTTAAAAGTTAGTTTAAGTGGGTATCACCTACTTACTTCTTCTTCTTCTGCCGTCAAATAACGGTGTTTGCGTTGCAATGCTGTATTCCGGGTTAAATGGATGCCGGTGTATTGAGCCAGTATATCTCAATCTTCAAAAGTGACAACCTATCTATAGGCTTCTTTGTTTGAAGTTTGCTGCGGATACCATCAGATGGACTGTTCATTGTCACTTTAGTTTAAAAAATAACATTTTTGCACAGTCGGGATATTCGATTTATTAATTTAGTTAATTCATATCAGTCCGAGCTGAAGTTTTCTCTCTGGGTGGTTTTGCTCGTTCATTGGGCTCAGCAACACAACTCTGATCTATGAAAAACCTAATTGTTCGAAAGTCTTAGCGCTCGCATTTCCTATTATAGATGAATTAAAAAAAAAAACTAAATAAAAATATAAAGATGCAAATTAGCTCACACAGCTCACATGCACGCTGCTGTGCAGGTTGCTACTGATGGCGGGCAAGTCGGGTTTACGCTCGGTCTTCTTCGCCTGTCTCTTAGCCTTGCCTTCAAGGAAGCGCTTCTGTAGGGCGCTGGTCTCCAAGTTCTGCTGCTCGCATGCGCCGCTGAACGACTGGTCAAAACGTGGCACACATTCGGATTGACGACGTCGATATGTCTCTATTCTTCTCCTGTTGACAATGAAAAAATATCTATCTTTAGTAACTATTTTACACTTGGATTTGCGAAAACTTTAGCGTATTTTCTATAGTTTAAAACACCGTTTATACATGAACAAACAGCCAAGTCCTCGGGCAATTTGTAGAGATCACACAGACTTGTTACGTGCAGAAATCGAACCCATATATATGGTGGTAAGTATATGTGGGGATAACTTTGAAGACTCATTCATTTAAGTTTAAAACAATATCAGGTTTTAATCTTATTTGGCTTTGATTTAAAATGAGGCGTAAAATTACGTTATTAGAGGTGTCACTGCCATAAAAATAGTACCAACATAATATTTCTACGACAGAATTGTACCAGGATAAAAGCTTATCTATTCGTTAGTGTGATGCGAGCAAATATTAAGCCTCGCGTGGACACCGGAACTCCTGACTCACACGACGGGCTTGCATCCGTCTAAAGGCCATTGGCCAAACTTTGAATGTTTAGTGCTTTACTATCGAAAGATAGGTATCAGTTACGAAAAAAATATTTTAAACGAAAACGTTTCTATAGCACTTACTTTTGTAATCTACGTGTTGGAGCAGACAGAGAATTTTAGTACATATAACTTGCATAAGATTACAATACGAAAGTTATTTTAAACCAAACGTTTCTATAGCACTTACTTTTGTAATCTACGTGTTGGAGCAGACAGAGAATTTTAGTACATATAATTTCTCGTTATTTTATACCTTCGCATAAGATTACAATACGAAAGTTATTTTAAACGAAACGTTTCTATAGCACTTACTTTTGTAATCTACGTGTTGGAGCAGACAGAGAATTTTTAGTACATATAACTTGCATAAGATTACAATACGAAAGTTATTTTAGGTTTACTATTTCATATTTTATCCTATATTACATCATATTTTAAAGGAATCAGTTTTATTTATATTTAAAATTTTCGATTCGTTATAACATTTGACTAAAAATTGTACAATTTTGGAATAAAAACAGTTCCTCTTACTGGTTCTAATACACATTTTTTATACTGGCATGCACTTATTTACTTTGAAGTGAGCAACCTTTTATCAACTTCACTCGCAACGACCTCTAGCAACAGCCAACTTCTCTGACAACGCAAGCAATAACATTTATATATTACATATTAAATTTATATATATATATATATATATATATATATATATATATATATATATAACATTTACACAAAATTTTATGTCCTTTACCTTAGTCTCTACTAGGATTGCCAACCGTATTTTAATATATCATACTATATTTCAGTCAATTGTACTAGATATTACAGAAAAATAATACGTAAATAGTATGAAAAATACTATTATATTTTTATTCCTAATTCAACTGTCGCTTTGTTATACTAACTGTGATTTAAAGTTTGGATCAAGTATGTTTTACGGAAATAATTTTTTCCATCATGAATGTAAAATTGAAAGATGAAAGAAAAAGACCATGAAATAATTTAATAAAAAATTTAAAACATATATATATATATATATATATATATATATATATATATATATATATGTGTGTGGAAAAATACATTCATATTTGTATTAAGTACATACAGACATAAATATTAAAAATAAATGTGTACTTTTTTTCTCCGGAATTTCTCAAATATACATTTAGTTATATTGTTCAATTGCCAATGGGCAACTCTTTTGGCTTTTTCAGCATCTTTCTGAGTACGTTGAATGGTCACTACGTTTTTGGATCAGAAGCTGTTGTGCAGACGTACACATGTTTGGTATCACGCCATTTTATTACAGCAATAGGTGCAACATACTGCATTATAAATTCACCAACTTTAATAGTTTTTTTTTATTTTTGCATCCTTTTTAGGAAAAATACTAGATTTGTTAAAAAAAGGTGGCAACCCTTGTCTCTACCTAAACAAAAAAAAAACAATTGAATAAGTGTTTTGTTGAAAATTAACTTACGTAATTACTAAACTGCTGCACGCATCGTAAGTTTTTTTTTAATATAATGGGGTGACAAACGAGCACACAGTCCACCTGGTGATCCTGATGGTAAGTGGATGTTGTGGCCTATAGACATCTAAGTATTTCTATTGCTTGGACGTTTGTACATATTCAGACGAGAGCACGTATAACACACATACATACGTTAAATACCAGTTACGATTCTACATAATAGAGATAACTGGTTAATCACATTTGGCAACGGATGTACGACACACGTCAGCTCACCCGTCTTGGTCAAAACCAGACGAGGCACACGGTAGGTGCAACACGCAATATTCAACCGAGGTTCAGTCAGTCGCGACCTGAGCGGTCACCTTGGGCAAATGTTAATGCAGTCATTTCGTCTACTCCGGTAAAAAAATCATTACCTACAAATGGATTTTCATTTATTCCGACGCTCCGTCGACTGTGCCGTTCAACGATGAAACGCTCAAGGTTATTGTCAATCGAGCGAAATCATTTACATTTTTCATAATACGTAATGGATTTTTCTTGTTGTTTTTCCCGCTTAAACGGCATACATTATCAATAATTTACAAATGTAGCTAAGCAACCTCGATTGTTACTAAGTTGTACATTTAAATTTGTATGAATTTATCAATACCGACATCATATTCTTTCTTGAAAAATTATTAGTATATTACTTTTAAAATAAAGTTCTCCAACGCCTTAAATGCCATCAGCCACGACATCCTACTATCTATTCTTTCCTTTTCTATGATCTCATCTGACGCTTTGGAATAGTTCTCACCCTATATTCGAGGCCGCCAACAGTCAGTCTGCTTTGACGAGTTTTCATCGAGTTGGTGTGACTTGCATGCTAGTGTTCTTCAAAGCGGTATTCTATCTCCGTTATTATTTTCAGTATTTATAAATGTCATTATCCCAAGTCTTCCGCGTGCGTATCATTTGTACGCTGATGAACTGCAGTTTTACTCATAGGCGAAGGTCGATCGTGTACAGCAATTGACTTAGTTTATAGGGACCTAGATATATAAAGAACTGGTCTGTCAGGTTTGGCCTGAAATTTAATCCATCCAAACGTCAGTAGGTACCCATTGGATTACAAAGAGACTGAATCCTACAGCTTTACCTCCGATAGTTTTAACGGTTTTATTTTAGAATTAAGTAGTACTGTAACTAAAAATAAAATGAGCTGGCAAACTCAGGTGACAATTGTTTGTCAGAAAGTCACAAGTATTTTGCGTGCTCTCTACCGCCTGAAAAACTTTCTCTCATCCTTGGCCAAAGCGATTATTGTGCAGACCTTAATTTTTCCCCCTTTTGACTACGGCGATGTATGTTATTTCGACCTGAATGCAAAACTCACAAATATAAACGTCTTCTTACCGGTTTTTGTTTAAATCCAAAGTTCGAAAAATACTCAATAAATAAAATGGCAGAATCAACTCAGCGTTCTTAGTTACAATGTATATGAAGTTAAATAAATATAATGTATAAATAAATGAATCGTTTATGTACGAGCAAATATGATTTCCTTCTACTTGTCAAAACAATTAAAATTAGATAACAAAATAACTGAAGGCTATTCGATAAAATACGTAGGTTTGTTGCGAATGCAATTCTAAATATAAATAGCTGTGATAATAGTATCGTGATAGTAGTATCGTGCTTCTTTAATAATGTGATATGTTAAATGAAAAAATACTGTCGGGTAGAAAAACTTAAATAATATACTGTGTACATATTAAAGTATTAGGAAACCACCGTGTAGTTACGATGTAACAACATCCACTGACAAATATTCGTATCCGTCCCGTAAACGTAATTCCATAGAATTCTATAATACACTAAAGAATGGCTGTCAACCTTATATTGTACGAGGATCATTGTCGCCGGGAAGCACACATACAATTACGTCGTATTATCACTACTACAAAAATATAAGAAATACTTGGTTAAAACTGGCAAGAAGATACCCAAATACATTGTCTACAAAAACTAGACTATTCTTCTGTAAAGATCATTTTGATGTATGTATGACTTACTTATATTTAACTATCGTTTATACAAAACAAAACATCATGGAGTGAAGGGTATCGCAAATCTAATTTTGTAATAAATTACGTTAACTTAGATATTATAACTAATGATTGCTAATTATTGTAATTATCATAGAATACTATAATTCACAATAGAATTGCTGTCAAACCTATTTTGTACGAGGATAGGCGTCGCCGGGAGCACAAATACTAGCAATTACGTCGTATTATCAGTTAATCGCTACTACAAACCCGATTCGCTGTGTTGACAGACGGATTATTATATACCTATATTTATTTGTAAATAGCGTGCAATTTGGCATTTTCTAAATAATTTGCATGCGAAATTTGGAAACGATTGTAAAGTCAAAACACATCTCGTGTTGACATTTATACGTGTGAATTGACGTGTTAGTGGTTAGTTATGTTCTATTATGTATGTATTATAGAATTAGCTCCTAAAGCGTGTTTTATCAAAATATACTGTGACCTCATCATCATCATCATCATCATTACAGCCCTTCACAAGTCCACTGCCGAACATAGGCCTCCCCCAAGTAACGCCACAAAGCACGGTCCTGAGCCACCCGCATCCATCGACTTCCTGCATGTCTTACCAAGTCGTCACTCCATCTAGTGGGGGGTCGCCCTACACTACGCCTACCGGTACGAGGCTGCCACTCGAGAACCTTTCTTCCCCATCGGTTATCGGTTCTTCGAGCTATTTGGCCGGCCCATTGCCACTTCAGCTTACTAATCCGTTGGGCTATGTCGGTCACTCTGGTTTTACTGCGGATATCCTCATTTCTGAGTCTATCACGCAGAGAAACTCCGAGCATAGCCCTCTCCATAGCTCGCTGAGCGACCTTGAGCGTCCTCATACGGCCAGCAGTGAAGGACCACGTCTGATCCGTAAGTCATCACTGGCAACACGCACTGGTTGTACACTTTAGTTTTCAGAGATTGAGGTATACCTGACGAGAAGATGTGTCGTAATTTCCCGAACGCTGCCCAGCCGAGTTGAATCCGTCGATCGACCTCTCGGTCGAAGTTGGACTTACTTAGTCTGACTATTTGTGCGAGGTAAACGTTCTGGTCTACATCTTCGAGCATAGTGCTCCAAGCTGCATAGGTGTGACATGGACATTGAACATAATCTTTGTTTTGTCCATGTTCATCTTATGACCTATCCGTTGGGAGACACCATTGAGGTCATTGAGCATAGTGCTAAGGTCCTCCAGCGATTCTGCCATAAGGACTATATCGTCGGCAAATCGAAGGTGAGTGATGTACTCGCCATTGATGTTAATACCGTATCCTTTCCAGTCCAGTAGCTTGAAAACGTCTTCCAACGCAGCGGTGAAGAGTTTCGTGGATATAACGTCACCCTGTCTTACACCTCTCTGCAGTTAGATAGGTTTCGAACTCTGGTTCTGTACTCGGATAGCCATCGTAGCCCTACTGTACAAACACTTCAGCACCTCGATATACCGACAGTCAACTTGGCACCGCTGAAGAGACTGTAGCACCGCCCAAATTTCGACGGAATCAAAGGCTTTCTCATAGCCCACATACGCCAGGCAAAGTGGCAGATTGTACTCCTCGGCCTTCTGTACAATCTGCCGCAGGGTATGTATGTGGTCTATGGTACTGAAGCCTTTTCAGAAACCGGCTTGTTCGGGAGGTTGGAAGTCGTCGAGTCTACGTACGAGACGATCCGTAATGACTCTCAAAAACAGCACGTAGACGCGGCTCAGAAGGGAAATCGGTCTGTAGTTCTTCAAGAGAGCGTTGTCGCCTTTCTTAAAGAACAAGACCACCGCACTTCTGCTCC